TTAAGTCCAAAACTATTATAACTACCGTAATTAAATCTCAATACTTTATAGAACTACCACTGAGACTTGATCACACATATATTATTTACGTTCCAATAATTAGATAATGTCTAATCGACCTTAAACCACAAAATATAATTATTAGTCTTTGTTTTTCCACTAAAGGCAAAAGACTGAACCCTTGAAATATATAAAATCACAGAAGCTAATAAATCTGTAATACATTCCTTTGACATACTGTATATGTATTTTATCATCGTCCGAGATTTGATAATTAGGTACAAGCATAAATGACCGTTTTACCCCTTTAATTAATCTCACTAACTTAAATATCATATTTTTCAACGTTCATGTGAACAAATCACATATGTCGAAGTTTAGCCGTTGCTAAACACTGAACTCAGATTTTAACATTCAACAGAAAATACTTAATTAATCACTCTATCCATTTTTCAGGGCGACGGTCCCAGACAAGAATTTATATTCTCTAATTTGCTCATTCTCAAGTTCCCAACTCACCGAAATATTTGACAATCACATTGATTGGTGAATCAAAGAATCATTAAAATCACAAAAAGAAATACATAACCATGTCAAGGGATTTAGCTGAAATATACAACGATCAAGTGGAATTTAATTCTCCGCACGATCATGCTATAGAATTAAACTCGACACATGATCCATTCAATGCACTCCAGTATACCGTGTCGCATTTTACTATTTATGTGATGAGGACAAATCACAAACACAAATAATGAATCGGTCAACACTATAACCTTCCAGCATAAGGTGTAAACCCTTATGCATTGGTTGTGAACAAATTATTTATAATCAAAATATAAGTTGTGTCACACTGTACTTCTTAACGCGAGTACCCAACTTATATTATCACAAGTGATCATGGGATATTTTAATTCACATGCTCAATAATAAATAAATGCAACAAATAAATAAAATCACAATTTATTTATTATAAATTATTATTTCATCACAACAAAATATACTATATGGGTACACGACCCAACAAGAAGAGCATTAGTCAACGATCTCGTCACATGCTAGTGGGAGACAAAAGGGTTCCCACGGTGAAGAGAATACTATTTGTCCCGGTAAGCGTCAATCAGAGCCACCATCTCGTCATGGGACTAGCACGCTAGAGGCAGGTGGCAGGAGGCAAAATTGGAGACAATGGATGACAGCGATATGGTGGCGATTGGGATATGGTCATCTTATGGAGATGAGGATGACGACGATAGCATAGTTTCCATCAGTGCATAGGATCAGAGAATCAGTGTACGGTAATAGAGAATAAGAAAACCGATCTCAATTTAACTGCAGTGTGCTTGTTGCACTGGGGCGGCGATGACGGACGTCAATGTTAATGGGAAATCCTTGGGTGAATGTGTATGTTTATAACCTATTTATCTAATTAAATAATTTAATTATTCTCACGCGTAACCTCTAAATTAAGTCTTTCAAATTTAGGATTATCTGCACTTCCTTCATTTTTAAACCCTCATTTTCTCACGGGTAACTTTCTTATTCTCCACGACTCCAAGATTCTTCTAAATTCAACGTTCATAAATCTTCCGGTGACTTCAACGGCATATTATCATCCTCAACTGTATATTATCCTTCTCCTACAATACAAACGTATTTTATTTACTTTATGAAATTTGTAGAATCTGAAAATGAATATAATGGCTAGATTGAAGGGTGGAAATAAGGAAAAGAAGATAGAAGAGACACTAGACAGAAGAAGTAAAATAAAGCCGAAGGAAAGCCCCAAAGAAACTGTATCAAAAAGACAAAAATCGTTTGGGTTAGGCAAAAAAAGTCCTTGAACAAGGTATTTTCAATTTTTTTCATTTTTTTTTTCATTTGAGTTATATGTATGTAATCCAAAATTGATGGGTAACAAGTATTGTAAATGTATTGGACATTTGTGGCCATTATTCGATTCAATTTTAGTAGCAAAGGAAACGGGTGAGGGTTTCCATTTGAAAGTGTTGTTTTATAGAAATTAACATTTTCTATTATTAATGAATTATATATGACCTACAATAGGTCATATATGACCTGTCAATCCAATTGTGATCTTGGTTTTTATGGATCTGTGACTTTAATGCATACCATTATGTGCATCTGTGACCTTATTTACATGATTATATATCGTTATATGTATCTATGACCTGTTTTAGTTTTTTCTCCCTATACGTGATATGATTGTATACCATATGTATATGCGACCTAACTTACTTGATTGTCTGAGATTCTATATATATATATTTTTTGCCTAATTCAGTTTACATTTCCAATATGTGACTTGATGGAAAACCATTATCTGTGACTTGATTTACAGTCTTCTCTATTATTATTTGTATATGTGACCTCATTTAATGTACCATTATAAATTTGATCTTAACATTATTTTCATCTAAACGCGTGATACAAGCGAGGAACTTCATCATACCACAAGATAGTTGGTTTCGTATAAAAATTACCAATTACCATGACAAACGATGTTCTAACGAATCTCAAAACATATATAAGTGAAGATCAATGACGTACACTCATGGGAACATGCTTTGTGAATTTACTAGAATGTCATGAAATTGTGGTTCAACGAATCTAATTGCATGGAGTTGAGGATGATGATTGATAGTAGCCTTCCGTAGCAGAAGAATAGGTTAGTTTGTGACCAACATTTCAAAGTATACACCGTTAAATAAGTTTCATTCTTAATAAACTGTTTTGTGTTGTTCTTCAGCCTTGATTGTGGCATATTCGTGATTAAATATGTTGAATACATGCTCTATGATGATAGAGAAACCATACTGAAGAAATTAATTGTCGACAGGATTAGGCTGGATATAGCCACGCTACTCTATAAACATCGAGAGATTATACAACCTACAAAGCGGGGGAAGCTTACAGATGAAGACGGGATTGTCATAAAGTGGTAGTTGAAAATACATTTGAAAATCAAGATGATGAAGAGATTTGTAAAGTTTATGAATACTAGCCTCATTTTATTTGTCCTTTTTAATATTGTGCAAAATGGAACTAATTGTAATGAATGTGAACCTATGGTTTTACATTGAGATATTGAAAACTTGTTTAATTTAGCATTTGAGCAGATGTTTGAAATGTTAAATTACTCAGGTGTCATGTTTCATTTGCACTTGATAAATTTAACAGTTTTCTGGTATAATTGCACAGTTTACCTGCACAGGTCACATATTATAATACATTGGTTACATATTTGGTCATTAGGTCATAGATTATACACATATTACATTTCTTAAGTCACATATTATCCTACATATTTTAATTTGCACACGTATTACAATATCAAATCACATATTATGCTTTACATATCACATGATATTAATTGGAGTGCACAAATGAATTACCAACACTACAGATTAAGCCTATGTTTGGTCCATATTTTTTCAAAATTTCATTTTTTTCAAAATTTATTTTCAACCACACATTCTTCCATAAAATAATTTCATACGTAAATCGAGATTTTTTCCTTCTTTTTTAACCACACATTTTCCAAAAAATTACTATTTCAAAATAAATTTTCTTATCAAGGGGTTCAAATAAGGGCTAAATATAAATGTTCACGTGTCTGTGATGTGCTAACATGTTACAAATTGATGTGCATAGATTATAGATTCATTGTTTACAAGTTAAATATAACTAAAAAAA